CTTCTGCTTGAGGGACTGTTATGAGGAAAATCCACAGAGTTGATGACATGTCTTCAAATGGGCAACATCAGCTGCCTTGTCTGAGACTTCCTAACCTGGTGACTAAGACCTTTGGCTTCCAAATGAGAGTTTCAAAAGGGTTACCTCTGTCTATAAACAAAAGAATGTGCGCTTTTATCTACTTCATAAAGCCAATGGTTAACAGCCCACTGAGAGCCACCAGGAAATTCATGGAGATCTCAAGCCTGAGAGCTGAAACTGACTGTCGATGGCGGCCAGGCCAGTCACCTTGCTCACAGGTAAAGAAACTGAGGCCTGGGAAAATTGTGGAAACTTGTGCAAAGTCACATGGTTAGAGAGTCATCACCTTTTCTGCTGGGCTTCACTAACTGAGATCCTAACCGCAGAAATCCAGGATGAGGAGGAAAATGCAAAGCACATTTTCAGAAAATTCTGGTGATGAAGATCATAGCTAAGCAAGTTGAAGGGGCTTCCCACAATCAAATATCTTACGAGGTAAATGCTAACCAGTCAACCAGGTAACCAACCAAGAATCCAAAAAGCAGCCACAGGACCCTGGCACTATGCCAAGTACTAGTATAGTGTCTTGGCTTTGTAGACTGAGAAAGGCCAGAACCTTCCAGTCTGAATAACTTGGTGCACCACTGATGGACAGTAGGCAGAGGACATGGGTGATCTGAGTGGCATCAGGAACACCAGTATTCAAAACCAGACTATGTTCTTACTGAAACAAAAACAAGTTTGATTTTGGTTTTATTTTCTTGTTGTTGTTGTTGTTTAATCCTCACCTGAGGACATATTCATTGATTTTTAGAGAGAGGGTAAGGGGGAGAGAGAGAGAGAGAGAGAGAGAGAGAGAGAAACATTGGCCCTGGCCACTTTGGCTCAGTGGATAGTGTGTCGGCCTGTGGACTGAAGGGTCCTGGGTTCAATCCTGGTCAAGGGCACATGCTTGGGGTTGCAGGCTCGATCCTCAGTAGGGGGCGTGCAGGAGGCAGCCATCGATGATTCTCTCCCATCATTGATGTTTCTATCTCTCTCTTCCTCTCTGAAATCAATAAAAATATATTTTTTAAAAAAGAGAGAAACAGCGATGTGTGAGAAAAACATTCATCACTTGCCTCCTGCATGCATCATAGCCAGGTCATGACCAGGCCAGGACTCGAACCTGCAGCCTAAGCATGTGCCCTGACTAGGAATCAAGCCTGAGACTTTTCAGTGTATGGAAAGACTCTCCAACCAACTGAGCCACATGGCCAGGGCTTGTCCAGGTTTCAAAGGGTCTTCCTCTCTGAAATCAATAAAAATATATTTTATAAAAAAGGGGATGTCTCTATAGGTGTCATTCTCATGCACCAAGTCTTAACAGTCTCATGACCCTTACCTTCATAACTGTTCGCTTTGGAATTTATAAGCAGGATATCATCCAACAGACATAAAGACATTCATTGTATAGTATTTGTAATGGTGAAAATTGAGAACTGAGCTTCAGGTCTGAAATTAGTTGATTTTATTATGGTCCAGCCACACAACAGAATAGTTTGGATCCATTAAAAAGATTGCAGTTTAAGAATAATTAAGGCTATGGGAAAGGAAAATGGCAAGTACAAGTAGCATGCATGGTGCTATCCTAATTTTAATTTAAAAGATATATATGTGTGTGTGTGTGTGTGTGTGTGTGTGTGTGTGTGTGTGTATATATACACACACACAAATAAAAGACTAAAAGAGAATGCATCAAAATGGATGGCTTATGATTTTTTATTTCCTCTATTTTTTTACTTTCTAATTTTTCCATAATCAGAAAAAAATTTCTAAAATTGGAAAATAGCTTGCATTCATTAGCACTCACTATGCATTAAACGCTGTTCTGAGCATTTTATGCATGTCATCTCACTTAATCCTTGCATTCTGAGATAGATTCTATTATTATCATAATTTTACTAATGAGACAACCAAGGCACAGAAATAATTAAATTACTTGCCCCAAGTAGCAAATTATCTAGCCAGAATTTGAATCCAGGATATCTGAATTCAATGTCCTGTGTTTATAGTCACTCCCTTATAATGCTATAATTAAAATTAGTTGTGAGTGCCTCCCTAGGGAGATGTGACAATTACTCACAACCTGGTGTGAGTTTCTGTATCAAATTATCTTTTTAGTGACAGCTGGCTGAATAAAGATCACTGATGGAACAGGTGGAGGAAAGCAGGTAGACACAGAATTCAGGGGCCTGGTAAAACACCTTATGAGGTACAGGTCTGTGTGGGATAGGCATTGACTAAGATATTTCAAAATTTTTCCAGAGGAATTATTGGGGAGCCTTTCCAAGCATAGTTTCTGGGTTGGTGGCCAGGTGGATTGGAAAGAAGCCACATCTACCCAAAGTTAGACAGGTCTCCAAAGTTGGAAAAGAGAAGGTGGTTGGCTTCAGAAAGTCTTTGAAATTCTGTTAAGTAATGAGCCATTATGTATTTATAAGCCTAATATGCAAATAGACTGAACGGCAGAACAAACAAACAAGGAGGGGGCGGGCACAGAACATGGTGGGCATCAGCAGCAGGCGTTGGCCACAGTGGGGTGGTGGAGCAGGTGAGCAGGGGCGCCAGACCAAGGCAGGGCTCCAGTCACTGTCATTGGAGCGAGCCTCTGGTGATTACTGAAAATTCTTTGCTCCCGCACTGTGATCCCACCCGCGGCCTGCACCTGCTGCTCACATCAGCCGGGCTCATACCCAATGCCGGCGCCCAGCTCAGCTGCTGATCCCTAATTGCTCAGCTGCTGATCCCGATCACCCCTCAGGGCTTCTCTACCTACCCCTGCTCCTGATGGGTGATCGGGGCTGGCAGCCACCTCTCACATCTGCTGTCAGTGACAACCCCGCTCACACCCACTGCTGGCGCCAGAGCCATTGCTCGCACCCACTGTCGGCGCCTGCCCCCTCACACCCGCAGCCAGCACCAGAGCTGCCGCTCTAACCTGCTGCTGGCACCCAGCACCAGTCCTGATGCTCAGCGCCATCAGCGGGTGCAAGCAGCAGCTGCCGGCCCCAATAGCCCCTGAGGGCTTCTCTACCTCCCCCTGCTCCTGAGGGGCAATTGAGACAGCAACTGCCGCTCCCATGTGCTGATGGCGCTGGCCCCACTCGCACCCGCTGCTGGCACCAGCCCCAATCACTCCGTGTCATCAGCGGGTGCAAATGGGGCCGGCACTGTCAGCAGTGGGAGCTGGTGGTGGGAGCAGGGCTGCAGGCAGACAGGGGACCAGAGGCTGCAGCGGGAGGGGCTGGGCCAGGTGCGGAGGATAGGCTGAGACCTGCTCTGTGCCCACCGCAGCCTCACGGCCCACAGTTCTTTCAAGGTACATGACTTTGTGCACTGGGCCCCTAGTTTAAATAATAAACACATTAAGATGGGGAAAATTACAGCTCATATATCATAGGTCTTGATGTATAACCACCAACCCTGCACACCACCAGCCTCCTTCTGATTCTGAACAGGATCCTTATTCTGAAGAGAAAATGGCCCAGGACACAGAATTCATAACATAGAAAACCCTCTTGTGCTCTCTGGGCTGCTATAACTGAAGGATTTTTTTTTTCTTCTTTAATAGCAGAAATTTATTTTCTCACAGTTTTAGAGACTGGAAATCTAAGATGCCAGCAGGAAGGGTTTTCTGGTGAGGCCTCTCTTCCTGGCTTGCAAACAACCACTTCTCGCTATGTCTTATACAGCCTTTCTCTGTGCTCATGCACTCCTGGTGTCTCTTCCTCTTCTTTCTTGTTTTTTTTTAAATCATTTTTAATTTTTCAATTATAATTGACATACAATATTATATTAATTTCAGCTGTACAACCCAGTGATTAGAAATCTTATATGTTAGATCACCATCTGACACCATACAGTTATTAGAATATTACTGATTATAGTCCCTGTGCTGTATTTTACATCCCATGACTATAATATCACTACCCATTTGTACTTCTTAATCCCTTCATTTTTTCACCCAACCCCCCAACACCCCTTCCATCTGGAAACCATCAAAATGTTCTCAGTATCTATGAGTCTGCTTCTGTTCTGCTTGTTCATTTATTTTTTTGTTTAGATCCAATCATTGATAGATAATGTATTTATTGCCATTTTATTGTTCATGTTTTCTATCTTTTTTCTTCTTCTCCCCCACTCTTACCCACCCCCTTCCTCCTCTTCCTCTTCCTTCTTCTTCTTCAAAAAAACCCTTTAACATTTCATGTAATACTGGTTTGGTGGTGATGAACTCCTTTAGCTTTTTCTTGTCTGTGAAGCTCTTTATCTGACCTTCAATTCTAAATGATAGCTTTGCTGGGTAGAGTAATCTTTCTTGTAGTCCTTGCTTTTCGTTACTTTGAATATTTCTTGCCACTCCCTTCTGACCTGCAAAGTTTCTGTTGAGAAATCAACTGACATTCTTATGGCAGCTCCTTGTAGGTAACTAACTGTTTTTCTCTTGCTGCTTTTAAGAATCTCTCTTTGTCTTTAACCTTTTGCATTTTGATTATGTGTCCTGGTGTGGGCCTCTTCTGGTTCATCTTCTTTGGGACTCTCTGTACTTCCTGGACTTTTAGATCTATTTCCTTCACCAGGTTAGGAAAATGTTCTGTCATTATTTTTTCAAATAAGTTTTCCATTCTTGTTCCCTCTCTTCTCCTTCTAGCACCACAATGATGCAAATGTTGGTACACTTGAAGCTGTCCCAGAGACTCCTTACACTATCCTCATTTTTTGGATTTTTTTTCGTTCTGTTTTGATTGGGTATTTTTGCTTTATTCCAAATCGCTGTTTTGACTCTCAGCTTCATTTACTCTACTGTTGACTCCCTGTAAATGATCCTTCATTTAATTTAGTGTATCCTTCACTTTTGACTGGTTCTTTTTTAGGATTTCCATGTCCTTTTTTATGCTGTTGAAGTTCTTTCTAAGTTCATCTACTCTTCCCCTAAGTTCTGTGTACCATGCAGGGGAGAGTGATACAGACTCATTTGAAGATGATCCTGAAATTTCCTTAGCTGATTATTGGAAGTGTACTTCGTGCAATGAAATGAATCCTCCCCGGCCATCACATTGCAACAGATGTTGGGCCCTTCGTGAGAATTGGCTTCCTGAAGACAAAGGGAAAGAAAAAGGAAGCATGCCTGAGAAAACCAAACTAGAAAACCCAACACAAGTAGAAGAGGGCTTTGATGTCCCTGATTGTAAAAAAAGTACAGTGAGTGATTCCCAAGAATCATGTGTTGAGGAAAATGATGAAAAGATCACACAAGCCTCCTTATCCCAAGAAAGTGAGGACTATTCTCAGCCATCGACTTCTGGTAGCATCATTTATAGCAGCCAAGAAGATGTCAGAGAGTATGAGAGGGAAGAAACACAAGACAAAGAATGTGTGGATTCTAATTTTCCCAATAATGCCATCGAACCTTGTGTGATTTGCCAAGGCCGACCTAAAAATGGTTGCATTGTCCATGGCAAAACAGGACATCTTATGGCATGCTTTACATGTGCAAAAAAGCTAAAAAAAAGAAATAAGCCCTGTCCAGTGTGTAGACAACCAATTCAAATGATTGTGCTAACTTAAAGATGGAGCATCTTTATAATAACTAGTGTTTTAAACTCTGCATCTAGCAGATTGCTTGTCTCCATTTTGTCTAGTTCTTTTTCTGGAGTTTTGTTGTGCTTTTTCATTTGGGACATATTTCTTTGTCTCCTTATTTTGGCAGCCCCCCTGTGTTTGTTTCTATGTATTATTAGGCAGAGCTGCTATCTCCTGGGCTTGGTAGAGTGGCCTAATATAATAGATGTCCTGTAGGGCTCAGTGGCATAATCTTGCCGTTCACCTGAGCTGGACACTCCAGGTGTCCCACTACCACCTGCCCCCTGTGGTCTGTGTAATCCTCCTGTTATAGTTGAGCCTCAATTTCTATTGGCATGTCAATGGAAGGAATCTATCCCCATTATCAGCTGCAAGGACTGGCTGTAACCACTGTGGAGGATCAGCTATGCAGAGACTTATTTCAGTGGGGCTCTGGTTCCCACTGAGTCTGCCCCTTCAGTGTGCTGCTTGTGGAGGTAGTCTGAAACTGTCCACCTGGAAGTGTAAGCCAAGGTCAGCCACCACTTATGTTCTGCCTAGGCACACCCAGGATGAACCACAAAGTGATCACAGATGGCTGCCACTTGTGCTGGCCTTGGAGGTGCCTAGGAAAGGCCAAGCTGTGAACCACGGGGCACAGCCATTACTGCTGGGTCAGGGGCCACTTATAGAGAGGTACAGGGCATGCGGAGGCCAGGTGCTGCTTGCTTGAGAGATTTTAGGAGAGTCTGAAAGACAGGCCATTAGCAGAGGAAAGCCACTGAAAACAGCTTGGGTGGGCCTAAAAGTTGGTGGGGCATAGTCTCAGAGATCACCAGGGCAGGGTGAACAGTTATAGCCAGATTGATGGAGACTCAGATATGGTGCTTGCCTGCCAGCTCTAGTGGGAAAGGCTCTGAAAAGAAACCATGGCCTCTGCCAGCACTTCTGTTTGGGAGAAAGCTGCCCTCTCCAACTCTTGCCCTTATGCCAGAAACTTCAGTTCCTCCCCATATGACCCTGGTGCCTTTTGAGCTGCTGTCCAAGCACTGTAACTTAGAGTGAGTCCAAGTAAGTCTGTGCTTGGGCCCTTTAAGAACTGCCTGGGACTCCTGTATTCCTCTATCTCACTCAGGCACAAACACACCTGGTTGTTGTTGTTTTTTCCTTACCCAAGGACATGCATAAAGTGGCAGGGGGTTGGGGGGGGGGGCACGGAGTAGAAAGAGAGAGATACAGATCAATGTGAGAGAGAAATATCAATTGGTTGCCTTCCATGCATGCCCCAACCAGGGGTCAAAACTGCAACCCAAGTATGTGCCCTGACTGGGAATCAAACTGGCAAGTTTTTGATGCACAGGATGACACTCAACCAACTGAGCCACACCAACTGAGCTCCCTGCTGGTTTTCATAACCGAGGTTATGGGGACTTCTCTTTCTGGAACTGCAACCCTGGGCTGGGGCCCCTCTCTCCTCAGGGAGAGGGGGACCTCTGCAGTCAAGATTTCCCTCCCAATTTTTATCTACCAAATGGAAGCAGTCCATTCCATGTCTCTGCCCCTCCTACCAGTCTTAACGTTGCTTCTTCTTTATATCCTTAGTTGTAGGACTTCTATTCACCTAGATTTCAGGTGGCTTTGAATGATGGTTGTTCTGTAGTTTAATTGTATTTTTGATGTGGTTGTGGGAAGATACCACATATACCTATGCTGCCATCTTGACCAGAAGCAAGATGTGTTACACTTAAATCATTGTCTCAAGCTCATTCTTTAAACTGCTCATCTGGAGACTGGGTCCTGCTACTGGAGCATGAGGGGAGGGCTGTGGGGACACTGCATCAGGGCAGGCCACTGGCATTTGCAGTGGGCAACGAGAGCCACCATCTCTCTCCCAAGTGGCTGTGGGCATGGGCTGAATGACCATAACTAAAGAATTTTATAAAGTAGATTTTTCTATGCTTTATCATTACAATGTTCAGGATAAAATAACACATTACCAAAGATATGAAGATGAAGGAAAATGTGGCCTATAATGCAGAAAAAAAGTAGTCAATGGAAACAGACCCAAGGCAAAGATGTTAGAATTAGCAGACAAAGACTTTAAGACGTCTACTGTTAATATGTTCAAGTATTTAAAGAAAATTTACCGTATTTGCCGGCGTATAAGACGATTTTTTGGCCCTGAAAAATATGCCTCCAAGTGGGGGGTCGTCTTATACGCCAGGTACACTTCAGATAGACTGCCCATAGTGCTTGCCCCGTGCCATAGTGGCCTCCCGATGCCCGCCCACTTCATTCCACATACCGTTCAGGCATCAGCAGCGCTGCTGGGTGTATGCTCGGCTGTTATGCGATTTTGCTGTTATTCGATTTTACCACACTCGCAAAATCGCACACAGCCGACCATACACCCAGTATGATAGCGCAAAATCGCGAATCGCGATACCATACTGGGTGTATGGTTGGCTGTGTGCG